TCCAGATCCGCTGCCGCCAATCGCCACACATGGAGAGGTACCGTTCGTGACAGCATTGAGGCGGGCTAGATCAGGCATGACCACAGCCGTAACAAGTACAAGTATGATTGCGTTGCGATCAAATCCAAAGTTTAGTTTTACGTAAGTGTTAGGGTTAGGACAGGGGAATATTTACCCTTTCTGGAAATATGCGCAGGAGCACCTTTATTACTTTGGCGGGGCGTTTTTATTCTTTTCTCCCGTTCAGGAAACCATATAAGTAATCCTTACCGATTCGTTGTAGATATTGCAAACTATTAATAAGAACTTGCTAACTTACCACTTAGCCTACTAATTTGCCGTTCGGAGATGTGATATCAGCTGGCTTATGGATGTGTCTACCGTCTGAATATCAATGCTTCTGAGCACTTTGCGTTTCCAAAAACAGAGCAAAATAAGGCGGCTGGAACGGCCAGTGTTGATGCCGCTAGGCCGCCTAGTGCACAGTTCTCGGAATTCTAAATTGCTTTCGCTCTACGAGCGCCTGCTTCGACTCACGACTGGACCTCGATGGCAAACGAAACGTCTGTAACCTGTTCTGTAACCAAGATGACAATTCGACCGTCGTTGCCGATGTTGTTCACCTTGTGCCCACCAAGGCTCATTTAATCAATATTCCAGTGAAGTCGAAACCTTCTGTGGACAGCACTCATCAGCACAGCGTCCGAGTGCTGCAGGTGCTACCGTCTTCATAAAATAGCTTGTCTCTTTCAACGCATTTACCAGGATTTCAAAAGCTTCAGAGTTAGCAGAAATGGCGTATTAAACTAAGAAGAAGCAAAGGAGATTACAGTGTTTAGTTATCTGAACCCCCTTCTACTTTTTCTTATCCTTTCAGAACAAGAAAGAGGACGGAACTCTGGTTTACATGTGCCGATTTTGCTCTGCCGTCTACAAACACAAAAAGTCCCTAAACAAGCACTGGAAAGACAAACATTCCGGCGAAATTGGACCCAACGGCGAGGCCGGCAACGAAGACGAGGAAGAGGAGGATGATGAAGGGGAGGGGACGAGCGCGGATGTGGAAAACTCACCCCCTCCGGAGCGTTCTTTCGAGGCCAGCGAGCCGGCACGATCTTGCTTGGCCTCAACTCCAGTGGCTAGTAGTAACGCCTTGCCCGTCAAGTTGTCTGCTGTCAGCCCCATAACGCTTTCCTCCAGCCTGTCCACCGCACCCGC